TCCCTACATGTTTCTACTCTGTATTCCTTGGAGGCCCCGAGAAAAATAGAAAAAAATGTTCCAAGGAAAGGAAGACCAGGCAGGAAGTGATGCTAACCACTCGCCGAGGACTGTTTTCGGAGAGACCACACTTTCTTGCTCTTCTGTGAAGGAGATGGTGGCGCTGAGGAGTCTGCCCATCAGGACTCCCTTGCCCGAGGTCACGCCTCACCAAGTCCCGCAGGGGCTGCAGGGAGAGACCCAGCTGTGCGGAGAACTGGGGTCAGGAGCTGTGGCCCATGTCAGGAAGGGGCATTTCCCCTCTGACAGATGTGACAGACCTACCCACAGGTTTCAGATAAGCCTCGAAGGACTTCCCGAGTGTGTAACTAGGACCCAATTAGGGAGAGAGTAACAGACCCCCGAGGCCAGGGTTTAGGGGAAGCCACCTACAGTGTCTTCCTTCCCTCTAGATTTATGTGAATTAGGTTAAAATAAATACGAATGGCAAAGTCACAGAGGTGATGTCTGAGAGGTATGGGGAAGGGGGAGTTTGAAGGATGATATTTTAGGGCCTTGGATGTATTTCCCCCCAGTTGCTTTTTTTTTTTTTTTTTTTTTTTTGGCGGTCCGCGGGCCTCTCACTGCTGTGGCCTCTCCCGTTGCGGAGCACAGGCTCCGGACGCGCAGGCTCAGCGGCCATGGCTCACGGGCCCAGCCGCTCCGCGGCATGTGGGATATTCCCGGACCGGGGCACGAACCCGCGTCCCCTGCATCGGCAGGCGGACTCTCAACCACTGCGCCACCAGCGAAGCCCTCCCCCAGGTTTCTTCTCTTCCATTTTCCCTTGTTTGGTTGAGTCCCTGTCCGATCATGGGGTTCGGCCCGTCTAGCCCTGCTGGTTTTTATCTCTGTTCACGAAGCAGGAGTATTGAATTTTAGAACTGGAGAAATGCATCCCTAGAAAGAGGGTGAATAGGAAAGTGGATGATTCTCTATCTTCCCCCAAGAAAAGGCAGCTTCATAATTCTCCAGCACGGGATTGGCTAGAGGCTTCTTAAGACGGTAAAGTAAGTTTGGCAGATGCCAGAATTGGGCCACGGCCCGTGGTAGGCAGCTTGTTTAGCTCACTGGAATTTAGCCTGGGTTATCCAGTTTCTTGAATCCTAATGCCATCTCTGAAGGATTCCTAAGTAATTTCTACCGATAAAAAAAAAGTCTTTTTTACTTTCTACTATTTTACCCCAGGAATTAGGAGAGCCCATAGTTAACATAGTATCTAGTGAAATCCACATGCATATTCATATGTACTCCTCACCCCAGTGTTTGCAGTCTGGGTCTTTCTCAGCAAGAGGGACAGATCTCCAGCCTTTGAGCGCAAACAGCTTAGGTTCCAAAAAGAACCTACTGAGGAAAAAGATAGTATGTTTATATATTTATTTTCTCCAAACTGCTGATTCTATCAGTGATTTGATCGGCACTTAACTTTAATACAAAATTGCCACTAACCCCACTATTCTGAATTTTTAGGGTCACTGGATCAACGCCATGCAATTGTCTTTCCTATTACAATGCCAGTCTACTAAAGGAATCAAAAACTTCCCTTTTTAAAAAGTTTTTTGGCCACACTGCCCAGCATGAGGGATCTTAGTTCCCTGACCAGGGATCGAAGTCATGCTCCCTGCAGTGCAAGCAGAGTTCTAACCACTGGACCGCCAAGGAATTCCCCAAAACTTCCCTTTTTAAGTTCTCAGTCTAAACTGTCTACATTAAAAAACAAAAAAACAAGAAAACCAGTGCTATAATTCGTTTTTTGTTTTTAGGTCTTGTGACAAATTTATGATGTCGACCACTTTAGGGATGAAGGTGAGAGAGTGAGTGGGGCAAGAGGGGAGGATATCAATACGGATACTGTTAAATTTTGTAGAGTTTATTTCATCCTTCCTTCCCATATACACAGAACCCCCAAGAGCTAAGGTGAGTCCTCACTTATCCACATTTTTTCATGAATATGCAGAATGAAACTCCTTATGTGACCTTCTGCATATTGTATTTGGGGCTTAGGCACTGAAGTCTAAAATGTAAGGCTGTTTGTTTGACTCATGGTTAATGAGTCAGGACATTGTCTCTCCAAGCAGGTTCTATTATCTTGCAGTGGGGAGAAATAAAAACACGTGAAGTGATCTTTTGTATTAATGCCAGGGACTTCCCTGGTGGTCCAGTGGTTAAGACTCCACACTCCCAATGCAGGGGGCACGGGTTCCACCGCTAGTTGGGGAACTAAGATCCCACACGACGC